ACCACATGGTGGCTCACGACCGCTGGAATGAGATCGGGTGCCCTCTTCTGGCCTGCAGGCAGCATGCAAACAGAACGCTGTCTCCATAATAAAGAAATCACATTATCTGTCGTTAGCAGATGATGGTTAGCAGATAGCAGCACGCAGAGGGCTTCCAGTCCACTTTTCTGTCCAGCGAAGAACGCTACACAAATGAAAGGCATTTTGAGGAACGGCCATGTTTGTCCACTTCCAAATTTTACTGCAGGACTTGCGCCCTCCATTTTCGTCCTTTATGGGGCTCAGAAGTACCAACGTCTCTAAATAAGGCAAATGGCTCCCCTACAAAATGGCCATTGCCTCACAAGGCAATTAATCAGAAGGATCCAAAACAAACTCTTATATCCACAAGTTAAACAAGTTAGAACGAAAATCGTGGGTGACAAACTTAGGGTTCTGCTGACTTAATAGCCTGCTTAAGTTTCTGTAGCTGCTGCCTTGAAACATGGTTCTTTAAGAACAACTAAAACAAAACCCTTTTACATGGAGCATGCTATAGATAGACCATTCCCAGAGAGCATTCAAGGGCGGTCAAAGAAAGCATTTAAAAATAAGTTTGTGGATGCTGTCGGATATTATATTCTAAATTAGCAATGCTTTGTGTTTTTAATCATGCAAATTTCATTATTTATCTTTAAATCATTGATGTAATTAAAAGATTAATTGTTTCATCCCTTAGAAGAATTCACCATTTGAGAAACTCATAAGTCTTACGCACTTGTATCAAAAGAAAATGTATTAAGATAACAAGTTGGCTTCAGAGTGTACTACTTTACCTAGCAGCTACTGTTAAGACATTTTCGAAAGCAAAGGATAATTAATTGCATTTGGTAAAACAGTTTCCACCCAACACCACGTCCACAGAGAGTGAGTACACTAAGGCCAAAACCAAAGAACCGATTTTATCATGTTTGTACAAATTATGTATTAAAGGTAAGTGATAATGCTTTGATAAGGCTTCCTGTGCATAAAATTTTCACAAGTGCAAAAGCTGAATTTAAAGTGAGCAATCCATGCATGTCGTCCACATAACAACAGCAATTTCACGAGCCTGTAATATTTCTTACAACATTTCATGACGCATTTCACAAGAAAGTCCACTTACATCGGAATCAACCGGATTTTTACCTATTCAAAAAGCCTCATCCTTGATATGCCTTGGTGGATTTGAACGTCTGCAGTACTTAGTATTGTTGATTGGTGGTGTTCGTGAGAGTCTTCTAGAAGAAGAAGAGTACAGGCAGATGCGGCGTGAGATAGAACAAGTACATTCCTGTTTTAAGTAAGGTGAAGTGAGCTCTCTGGCTGCGCGCAGTCTTGGGTTGAGTGTCTTATTTCTCAGTTCCAAGGGCAGTACCCCTTCCAGGCTCAGGAGTTTCCCCGTCTGGGTGAGAAATTATATGTAGTCACTCTCGTTCCATGGCTCTGTCTGTATGGACAAGCAGTAAGTAAAGAGTTGATGTGCGAGCAGTTCATTGGAGGCCCAAAAATCTCCTTTCCCAGAAAGGTTTAAAATAATTCATTCTATTTCCGGAGCAGAGTCAGATCACAGGGAAAATGATGCTTTCTCATCTCATGGTATCAATTTATGCCGGACGTGCTGTGAAATGCTTCACATTTTTGAACACTGATCTTCAGTGTGGGAAATGAAAGTTTTATTTAAATTTGTAATTGACATCTTGACCCATAGTTCATTTTTTAAATGGCCAACTTTATAGTTGCAAACAAACTAATCGTTAAATTCAAAGACGACAGATAGTTTTAAAGTTTTCCTGTATAGAAGACATTATTACTCAACTATTGTCATTAGTATAACTTGTGAAAGTTTTTAGCAATTTGTAATTTATTCTATTTTTTCAATTTTCATTCATCAAAGTATTTTCACACAATCGTGTTCTCTAGAATATAAGTATTTATAAGTGTCAAGGGCTTTGTAATACACATAAAGCAGAAGTTAAAGAGTAGCACGGCATACCTTTAGTAGGAACTCTGGAGAACTGTAAAAAGCAGTGGATGTCTGAGAGCTGAGGAACTGGGGATCTGCGGTCTCATCCTGCCTCCTAGTGTTCTCAGACTATAAAATGTGGCTTCTTGGCAGGAGTAAAGCAAAATCCTATTTCTTTGCACTTATGAAACAAATCTCAACAACTAGAAAAGATATGATGTTTTCTCTCTCTCTCTCTCTCTCTCTCTCTCTCTCTCTCTCTCTCTCTCACACACACACACACACACACACACACACACCAATGCTCTGAAGTCTATGAATGTGTTAATGTAGATGGACTCCTAAACAGCTGATCAGAAGTGTAAATCAAACTTTCTACCACTCCTAACATTTGATAAGCAAGCTTAAGTCTGGAAAGTATTTGTTCAAAACTATCTGGCCAAAATCTTAATCACTAATAGGTTATAAAATTGGTCCAACCTAAAATTTGGCTGACCTTTCATAAAAGCCATACTTTGTGTATATTCATTATCTTCAAGATCTAGCTCTTTAACCTTTTGATCACCAGAAGGAAGCCTCTGAGAAGTCATGCATCGAGCACAAATAAGTTTGCCATATTAAACATCCAGATAGCAACTAGAATACAAAATTTGCCAATAGGGCATTCTCTGTTCTTGAGAGTTTGCAGTGAACATTTTTATTGTTTGAAACCTTTGAAATTTTTAGACATATATACAATTTAAATTGGATCATATCCACCCTACTCCATTCGTCCAAATTGAGGCCCCCAACACATCTCAACCCTCATTACTTCCTGGCTCCCCCTTTTCTTCTCTCTCTTTTAATAACTCACTAGGTCTAGTTAGTGCTGCTCATGCACACACGTGTGTAAGAACATCCTCTGGGCTGTGGGAATTTATCAATGTCCTCATGCATACATGTGTGTAAGGACATCCTCTGGACTGTGGGAATTCATCGGTGTCCTCATGCACACATATGTGTAAGAACATCCTCTGGGCTGTGGGAATTTATCAGTGTCTTCATTCACACACGTGTGTAAGGACATCCTCTGGACTGTGAGAATTCCTCAGTGTCTTCACTGTAAAGACAGTGACTCTCTCTCTTCCCGCAGCTGTCAGCAGTGACTCAGAGTAGAGGTTGGGGTCTTCTTCCTCCTCAATGCTGTCACGTGTGACTGACTTGAGCCCGCACAGGTGACCACGGATGCTGTGAGCCGAGGACAGCATTTCATGGGGCTTCTCCAGCATCTGATTTACTACATTTTTCCACCCCCCTTCATTGATGATGTGATTCCCGAGCTTTTGGACAAGAGGTAGGTGAGATGTTGGATGTATGTAAAGATGATTGTTGACCTAGACATGACCAGGTCCAGGACCCCTGTGCTTCAAACTCACTGGACACGCAAAGCCGTTCCCAGGTCAGGCCAAGGGGAATGGCAACGTTTTTCCCTGGTGTGTGAGCTTTTGAGGCCAATATATACAAAAAGTCTGAGGGAATATTGAAAAACTATTTCAGTATCTAGTCATCATCTTCCTAAGGTTTTCTCCTATGGTCAATAACTGGTCATCTTTCAAAGAGCATTACAGTGCTTCTATTTCTCCAGGAAACAAAATGACTCAAAAATGTGAGAAAATAGAACATTGTAGTCATGTGTACTGGAGATCAGAGTTTCCAGGTTTAATAAACATTCTTCCTGGACCATGGACCTTTCTTGGATTTTTTTTAATTTAATTATGATAAACATATGTAAAGAATTCGACATAGTATACTATCCCCAGCTAATTTCTGTATCTTATCTTTTTATATTTACTGTAAATTTACTTTACTGTAAATTTATTTACTGTAAGGCTGTTCGTATATGTCAAGTAGAAGAAGCAACTGGGAGCATTTAGGCCCTATTGATTACTTTAATAGAATGTTTCCAAAACTTGACCACAAGCTTCATGTTACTGACAATTTTGGTACATGTTATCATCAGATTATCTGATCTCTATTTTGCTGCAGGTTATTCAGGGGAAAAATGTTGAGTTTCATAAAAATCCATTCATTTATTGAAACTGATGCTGAACTTCATTTTTGTTTTTATTTTTTCACTATACAACGTAATAATCAAATGTGAACTATTATTTGGTGAAAATCCTCCCTCCTCCCTTTTCTCTCACCTTCTTGTCCATCTCCCCCTCTCCTCCCTACTCCCCTTTTGTATGATAAATTCCTGAGACCCACCCTGCTCAGCCCTCTTTTTCCAATGTTCTGAGTAACGTTCTCTAAGAAACTAACGGTGTGGCTGGAGTCATTCAAGGCTGGACCTGAGGGATTGAGAGAGTGGGGGAGTTTTACGTTGCACAGAGAATGTCAAAAAGCATAATTATGGTCACTGTGTTCAAATAATATAAAGTAAGAACTGCTGGCAGAGAAATCAAAGCCCTCTGAATGACTGACGAATCGTGCAATGCTTTCTTCTTTCTTCCGATGTGGGGTGAACCCAGTGTGTTGAAATAGTTTGAACTGGAAGATTTATATAATGTATAGTTATATAGCTTTTATTTAAGAATGTTTAGTTTTATGCAATAATTGATGTGATGATTGATGGAAATACAAACATAAAAAGTTTACGTGAATTTTTTAAAGTTTTTTCCAATTTATGTGTAAGCATGTATCTGTGTGTGTGTGTGTGTGTGTGTGTGTGTGTGTGTGTGTGTGTGTGACACATCTGTGTGTGATGCCTGTGGAGATCAGAAGACATCAGAGCACCTGGGGCTGGAGGTGCAGGTGGTTGGTAGCCATCTATCCAACAAAATTGCTGGGAAATGAGTTCATGTCTTGTAGGAGAGCAGTGCCTACTCCTAGCTACTCATTCATCTGTTCTTCCCTTCCATGGATCCTTGAAGCACTGTGTGCTCTCTTCTTTGACAAATAAGAAATCATAATGTGTGGCTGCACTTTAATAACTGAAAGAGATTATCAAGTTCCTAAGAAGAAAGCACATGCAGAGTGAAGCAGGGACAATGATTTTTATTCGGTTTTACAGCTCTGTATCTTTATGAGAAGTAACGAGAAGTTCTTTAGTAAACACCAGTGTGTAACAGTCAAGTTGATTGTTCAAGGTATAGTATTTTACTTCTTACACTGCTAAAATTGAAGTCATTTGGAAAGGCTTAGACTATCAAGGATACATAATGTTCATGATCATAACAAGTGAAAGTATCTCTTCCAGTGGATGGTCACGACGGAAAAGAGAAAACTGGTTCGTGTGCTTAGCACTAGGAGACCTTGTAATTAAACAGGAAGTGGTTTAAAAGGGAGCAAGATGAAATTCACAGTAACCGGTTTATAAGCTACTGCTTTACAAAAGTCCGGTGCCTAGATTAGAACAGAAAGGCTAAGGGAGACACATCCTTAACAGACGCAGTAGCCTGGGAAATTAACTTTTATATATTCATCAAAATTATTAGAGTAGAAGAATAGACGTCATAGTACAAATCCTTCGTGGAAACATTTAGTATAATTAAAGTAACAACAGTGTGTTTATATCTTAACACTAGTCAATGGCTGCATACACTATTTTCACTGAAGGCTCCTTTCTTCTTGGGGTTTTAACTTTTCCTTCTTTTGATATTCTTTTGATGAAACCTGCAATAAGAACAGTAAGTGATAATAGTGAAAAGAGAACACACATGACCTTATCTCAAATCTCCTCAAAGTCTTTCATTTGCCTCCGTATTTTTGCAAAATGATCTAATTCGAAGAAAGTCATTTTGCATGTGAGAGTCACCAAAACTGGGTAAGTATGCTACAATTCATTTGAAAATACATGCTTATTTTTATTAAAAGGTAGATACGTGGTAAATATATGGTTATTAGACTAACACATTATTTTATTTAATTTCTATGTTTTTCATAAGTTCTTTGTGTTCTTTGTATTGTATCATTATATTCAAGGGAAAAGTAATCAAAATGTTAAAAGCCTGGTGTATTAAAAGAGAGCTTGCAAGAATTTTAACATATTTCTTTAAAAAATACATGCTTAGCTCTTAAATATTTACGAAAGAAAGTCGGGCTGAGAGGTGGCTTCGACATTAAGAGTGTGCCCTGCTCTTGCATGGGACTGGCTTCAGTTCCCAACACTACTTTAGACACCCACATCTCTAGTTCTCAGAATCCCACGTCCTATTTAGACCCTGCAAACATCTGCGCGCACACACGGCATTCCCATATCCAGATGGACACACACACACACACACACACACACACACACACACACACACATATATATATATATATAAATCTTTTAAAAATAAAAACTTAAAATTTTCAATCTATTTTAAGTTGATAATTGTCCTGTAATACATATGGAGAACAATTATAGCTACCATACCTACTAGGATTATCTAAGTTTAGTTGGTAGGAGGGCAAATATTGACTAAGAAATTATATTACTCCTTATAAGGAAATATTTGTTATTTCATAAGTATTTCGTAATTTCAGCATAATTATCATTCCAAATACTGGTGATTTAATGGGAAGAATGTCTTTCATACCTTTTTTACAGGCCTTCACACAGTCTTTCTTGGTAGTAAAATTATTGTTATTTCCCCCGCATCCAGTGTACTTAAATTGGCGACATTTCCCAATGACTGGATTGTAGTAGAATCTCTTCTCACTGGATTGACACAGTCCACTGTCTGCTGGACTAAGACACCATGAAGGGCCATGATATTCTAGAAATAAATAGATGGATAGAAGGATAGATAAATAAGTGAATGGATGAATGAATGAATAATTGAACGTTTAATTTTAAATTTAAATCTTAAAATTGAAATTTTAAGAATCAAGAAAATTTGGTAAGCTCTCTGCATAGTGAATCTGGGCCTTCTTATTAAGTATCCCTTGCAGATCAGTTTTACGGCATGTCTTCTGAATAAAGTAGGATCCAACACAAAGATGAATCATCAATCAAAGATGAATACACAGCAAAGCCCAAGAGTTTCAATGACAGGAATATGCTTAAACAAATGGAGATTTCCATAGTCCCATGGTCTTTCTCCAATGAACAAAACAGAGCGCATTTGAAAAAATGAAGGCTTACGGTTAGTGTTTACATGAACAAATTACTCATACACAATCAAAACAAGTTCTACTCAACGATTTACCTTCTGAAACCTTAGCTATATATTTACAAATGCATTTAAATTAGTACACATCAAATAACTTTTCCATATTTACATAGTAAAGTCAGTCACTGGTTTGGAGTAGATACTTATCGTCTGTCAATAGGACCGGCAAACATTCAAAAACCAAGAACAGGCAACTCGGGTAAAAATGACAATAAGAGTGATAACAATAACTCTAATGTGAAAAATAATTGGAGCCTAGTAAGATTTTTTAAATTCCTTTGGTGATTTCTTTCGAGTAGGGCAAGCTGGTACTTCTCAACTGTCCAGCCATGTCGGGCAGTCGTAAGCGAAGGCTGCAAGCGAGGTGTTGGATGGCGATGGGATGTGGAGGGGAACTCGAGTGGCTTCGGCAGATGGCGGGTGTCATACAGCACATACAGAGGAAAACTTGATAAATGTTTGTGGGCAGAAGATGCGGCTGTGAGGAGTCCAGGGGCCGACAGAGGCAAGCAGGCTGTGCGGAAAGCAAGCAGCCATCTTTTGGCACACAAACCCTGGATGGAAAGATCGGGAAAGTTCGGGAAAGAAGACAGCTGAAGTGAAGCAACCCATCAGAAACAGCTTCATTCGAGAAACACATTTTTATCATCTCCTGCCTTCTAGACATGAGTGGAAATCAGAATGTCTGGACATCACTGGCATACTGAGTAAGGACCTGGGAAATGAGAGAGGCACTAGGGGTGATGGAATAATAAGTAAGGAAGAATTTACAAAGGTAGCGTGCAAAATGTAAGATTTACACTCACATAAAAAATACTTAGTTTCATTTCGGTCTTTGACTAAATACATAAACACTGCTTTTGAAAAAAACCTTTAGCATCTTTAAAGTAGCGTTCATACAGTGTCTGAACTATTATCTGATATGTTATATCTGCATCTTTGAACGTGAGTGTGCCCCATGATAAACCAGAGCTAAGATCATGTGCCAGGAATGGGTTGTAAAGTTTCCATCGCACGCTAGCACTTTCTGTTTAAGACAGTGATTCTAAAGGTGGGAGAGACCCGTTGCAGTGGGGTCCTCCTGTTGCCCACTAAGTCCAATGGGTCTCCTGTATTGTTTCATTACTCCCAGGTTTAGATGTGAACAGTCAGCAACTGCACCTCCTTTGTCTCCTTAACTTCCAAAGCCACCAACCAGGCTCAGAAACAGTGGCAGACTGGAAGCAATTGAATGAAATTGAGAAACAGGAATTTGCTACTTGTTTTATGGTTTTTCCCAGAACGCACCACCTACTTTTATAACAAATTATATAGAGAGGATATGTGAAGCATAAATTACTTTCACTTTGGTGTGTTCTCTACAAGATATGTCAGTCCACGGTAAGTTGCAATAATGCATGTTAATGTACCCATATCTCTAACTGTACCTTTCTTTACAAATGTTAATTACTGTGTTTTAATAGCAATGCCCACTCTAAGGGGCATAATGCCCCTTATGTCAGGACAGAGAGAAATTGTCATTCTCTGAGAGTAACTCCTTCTCCACTTAGTGTATGTCCTGATGAAAGTTTAGTGTCATAATCAAAATCAAACATATTTCAAGGTGATGAAAAACTAATTTGACTATTGCCCCTAGACTGGAGGTAAGAAGGAAGAATGTTACCAGAAACCAAAAGCCCTGCGTCCCAGGTGAAAACTAGAACCAGAGCAGGCATTTCTAGAGGAACACAAATCATAGTGTATATAACACAGGTATAATGGTATAATGGGCACGTGGGCTCTAGCCTCTCTCTGCCTTTGAACATCGAACAATCCAAAAATATTTACTAATGGCCAACGAACTCAGAAACCAGTGGAAACAGGTTTAATGCAGCAGAAGGCTAAGGTCGTACGAAAGCAGGCAGTTAGGAGCACGGGTGCACCAGAAAAAGCATCATTGCTGATTTAACCATGCAAGACTTCGCATTTCTGCTGCCTGTGCACAGTGACGTCTGCGTTAAGTGTCTAGCACAGCTCTGGGAGCTGAGGTCAGCTTGCAGATGCACACCACACACCTCTGCTATCACACGCTCGCTCCACTCGAAGGCATCTGCCCAAGAATGAACAGTGGCCACTATTTACTTATCTCATTTTATTAGTCCTGATACCAGACCCTGTCTAGACAGATCCAAAACAATCGACCTTTGACCACAGCAGCAAGCATGTTCCTAACCCTAAAAGAATGCTATTTTCAGACAGGAGTACAATTTGAAATTCATCTCTGAGTACTTTGTATATATACATAGTGAAGTATTAAAAAAATCAAAACACTTTTCATTTTGGGATTTTTTTTTAATATAAGGTTCTTGTTTTCCCAGAACACAAGTTGCAGACACTATTGAAGTGAACTCATTGTTTTTAAGATTATGTCAATGCTGACTACCATTTGCTTTATCATAAATCATGGGTAACATAAAGCAGACAGTTTCTGCAGAACGTTTGGAGTCCTCGACTGGCATCTAATTAAACTTCCAGAAGTGGGAAAATGAAATATTTTTGTGCCTCATGAAAAAAGAAGTTTACCTATGCTCAATTAACAAACATATTCTAGACAATAGGTAGACACTCGCCTATTTAAATTCCAGACACTGAGATCTACAATAAAAGAAGATACATTTCGAAGTAGTTGCACAATGTGATTTCTTTTGTCTAGATTATGATTGGAGACAGAAATTTACGATAGGATAAAAAGACACTGACCTGGCTGGTTTCTGCTCATGTTCCAAAGGGACATTAGTAGCCAGATGCGTTCATTCTGTCTTGATCCCGCCATCAATAGCAAGTTGAGTGGATTTCGTCTCAAGGACTTGCTGAAAGGTTTTGCAGCACACCCATCTCCCTTTTCTCTCTTGTTATTACCAGTGGGACTGCCAAAGAACAAGGTGGCGGCCCAAGGTCCGTTTTTCAAGAAAAATGTTTTATGTAAATTTACTTTGAAATTCATAGAGTGAACTTTGAACTTAATGCATGGGAACGTTATTGAAATGGCTTATTCCCACAATACTTTCCTATGTAGGTTCTCATTGCATTAAGCAAACTAGTATTTGTGAACTACTTCATAACATATGAACTGGTTTTCTTCTGAGATTTCGGGGGTAGGGGTTTGAATAATAAGTCACTCTTTTTTCCCTATAAGTTGTAGTAAAGAGAAACAATTTTATTACAATGTTTATGAAAATTTAAATGATAGCAAAACATAAAAATATGAAATAAAACATCTGCATAATGCCCTCCCCCAATTAAATTACTATCAATGATTTGGTAAATGCTTTTTCCAAAACCATTTGTATATACAAATATATATTCATATGCTACATAGTATTACTATCCTGAGTAACTTGTGAACATATTTATATTTTATAGCATTATATATCCTTTTAAATGTATGCATAATAGTGCATCTATTCTACTAAACATCACTTGCATAGAATCTAATATGTCTTTGACTTTCAAATGCACTATTTTATGTACTACTAATAAGGAAAACTTGACTCTATTACTGTTTACTATCAGTGATAGGCTTCATCATAATTACAATCATGTTAAGATGTTGAAAAATGTGTAACTTAAAATGAGTAAAATATGCTAATTTGTATTACATGCCAAGAACCCAAATTCATGCATGCATACATATATATACAATCACATAAATAAAAATGAAAATTATATATATTATTTATTGGGCAAAGTACTATATGTGAGAAGAGATTATATAAATAGTTTTATGGGGATGTAAACACAGAAGTTTGCTAAGCTAACGTTCTACAGAGAAAAGTTTGTGTTAACGTTATTATATTTTTCTGGACTCTTCCAGCAGATACTTACAATCTTTTAGTCATTTGCTCCATGATGATTTTTTTTTACAAGTTAAATAATATTTATTGATAAGTTGACAGGGAATTTTTTCCTGTATGATAGGACTATGGCCAACTTTTGCTGTTGCTCTGTTTTCAGTGTTTAATATTCCTTAATTGTAATGCTCAAGTTACACAATAAAAATAGTCGACTAGAGTTCATTCAGTTCCCTCAGGGGTAAAAAAAAAAAGACTACAGACTGGAACCTGCTCTGGCTGGCGATGGGCAGTATGGCCACCATCTTCTCTGTCTTGAAGAAAACACACAGCCCTTCACCAGACAGGCAGTCACTGGACCAGCAGAAACTGATACTTCCGTCAACCTTGGAAAACACGCAAGGGCTGCTGAGCTACTCCCTTGAGGATTATTTTCCTTTCCCTGTGTGCCTGTCATAGAGGGTGAACTGTAGAGGTTGTGCAGTCAGGAAACTTGAGACTGAAAGGTCATAGGAACAGACTGGAAGGAATCTTTCCTGGACAGGAAAGCCTATACAGATTAAAAAGGAAAGAGAGAAACTAAATAGGTATTTGTTTGCTTTCATCCAGAGGTTGGCTAATCCATACTCGAAGTTCATTAAGGTATCTATACTCAAGAATTTTGTCTAGCAATCCAGAAAGCAAAAAAGGCTTTAGACAATGACAATTAGAAAATTTTCAGGAACACGTTTTTTCAATTAAGTATTTCAATTAAGTATTCAATTCATGTATGCTTGGAGAAAATGTACTTACAATCAGTACTACCATACAAGGGTTAGTATTTTCATCTTAAAATGTTTTGAGAGGGGCTGCAGAGATGGCTCAGCAGTTAAGAGCACCTGCAGCTCTTACAGAGGACCTACTTGGCCATTTGTCTACGCTTCCAGTCTAGAAACTGATACTGGATGCCTCAGACAATGCACACATGAGATACAAAGACATGCATGCATACATTCAAAACTCCCATACACACACAATAAGAATAAATTTTAAAACATTACATTGAGAACCCTGTATAGGAAAAGGTATAGATCATGATCGCAGACCCAAAACGTGTCATAGACCTTTGTCTGTGCAGCTGATGGTTTATTATCCTCTGTATTTCAGTACGCTGGTTAGCTTTAATAGAAGAATGGGATTTTAGCAATCAGAGAAACAGTAGAATATGGGTGAGAGCACACAAATCAGAATATTTCTAGTCTATCTGGAAGAGTATTCTAGAAAGTCTAGAATAACTAAAGAACAGAACACAACAAAGAGGATGATAGAGAGTAAAACTGGAAAAGCGGATTTAGGAAATGCACAGAGAACTACAGGCAACTGAAGAGGTCTGGAAATGAGAAGGAGGTCTTCCCCAGGGAGGTCTCGGCAGCAAGCGTGTTTACCCTGTGAAATATGTCACCGTACCCGTGGTTTAAATTTCAGCCTCTCCTGACAGTCTGTAAGATCTCCTCACTGAAGCCCTTCCCCTACCTGCCAGTTACATCTCCAAAGAACAAAACCGCCATCATGTTTTCATTCTTCCGTTTCCAGGTTCTATTACAATTCCCATCAGCCAGGCAGTCGAATTTACAAATTTCACTTAAACTAGAAAATACGCAAATCTGTACCTTGGGTCATAAGGGTGGGCAGACAGGTATTTAATGCCTCCAGTGATCGCAAATCAAATCCAGAGACACAAAAGATGAAATTTTATTTGGTTAAGTACGCTTTGATTTTATGAGCACTGTGTATTAATTCAGATAACTATAATGAAGTAAGACTCTTCAGTTCAAGGTTACAACCTGAGTTGAACTAAAACTATAATAAAAGATGCACTAACAGGTATCTTTGGGCTACTTCTTATATCTCTTAGGTGAATATGGATCAGTGTTGTCATCACCAAGATAGTCTTAAAAATCAATATTCTTGTTAATGACAACACAGGATGAAGAGTTTTACAAATACTGCAGGATTTTAAATACTTTATGACTTACTGCATTCCACACGTAGCTAAGAAAGAACTGGAGGCTTCGAGAAGCTGCCTGCTTTTTTTTTTTTCCGACATGCAAAACAAGTCGGGAAATTACAGAACTAAAATTAAACTCAAATTCCACTCAGAAAGTCCGTGTCCTTGCCCATCCTGAGACAGCACTCTAAAGCTAAGTAGAAAATACTTCTAGACTTACTGAGCAAATATTTCAGTAATGTGATCAGATAAAGTTGGTGTAGCTTCATTATTTCTAACCCCTAAATCCCTTCTTCTCATCAATTGCCAAACAAAGAGACCCCAAATGTGTTGATGCACTGTCACGTGTGTGAATTGGTGTTCATCAAGTCTGAACAGGGGAAAGGTGCCGAACTAAAACAGAAAGCCCTAATAAGGCGACTGGAAAATGGCCCTGGGCAGCAGTGCTGAGCCAAATAGCTCTCCAGCACCTGAAGGCAGGAATCATTAGGTTGGCATGTTCCACTGGCCTCATTCTGGAAATCACTGAACACAGCCAGGCCTTTATGTCTCCGTAATCAGATGCATACCAGTGAGCAAGCTCCTGGTGTTCACATAACTGGGAGCAGAGCCCCATGGAGTTGCAAAAGGTAGACCTGGGGCTCTTTCACGGGTGCTTCTCACTTCACTTCTGCAGAGTTCATCCAATCTTTACAGAGAAAGGCGACGCTCGGAGAATTAAGACGGAGTAGCGCAGATTTTTCTAAACTAGTTCTTAATCCTCGTCTATCTTTTGGCTGTCCATACAAAATTCGTATTCCAATATGGATTTTCCTACTGTTTTAAGAACAAAAAATCTTAACAAATTAGTAGCGCTGGTTAGTAGTCTGGTCGGTATTAATATGCAACTAGGTTTTTGGTGTAGCCCTATAATTGTCACAAACTTAAATTTCTATGATTTTATTCGGTACAGATGTCATTTAAACGAATTGGGTTGACCCAGTGATGCTGTCCATTTCGTCTCTAGTAAGAGTATCTGCTGACATTTGAGAAACACCTCTCTGGAGGGCTCTGTCTGGGGCAGCCGTGGTCTTTGATTAGACTCAGATTGCCTGTGACGAGATCTGCCAGGTAGGCAGGGTGACAGCTGTGACCCTGGCAGAGGAAGCGCCACATTCTTGCTCCGTGCCAGCGCTCCTGCCAGGAAGAAGAAGGCCCGGTGTGAGCTCAGCTAATGCTGTCTATTTCTGGAAAGCCAGCTCGCCAGGGTGTCTGCACACACCACCAGATTTACTATGCGGGAATACGTAGGATGAGATACACTCCAGGCTTCTCGGTGAGTGTCCATTTGAAGGCCACCACACTTGCTTCCGACCGTGTGTGCTTGTTGATGAAATGAAGCTTACAGCGCTGTCCACAGAGTTCATGATGTATGCACTCATGGGGTATGCATTTAAATGTGTAATTCTCTAGTTGGTAGGGGGATGTTTTCCCAGAAATTTCACATGACTGCAATATTCCTCTGTGTGAGATCACTATCTTCCAAGAGAACAAAGAAGTGAAAATATTCTATTGCGGATCTCTAACATAAACACGTCAGCAGTGACACTCTGAATATCGAATAGCTTCTCTGTCAACATTATTCCTCTTCCAGAAGGCCAATGACAATGATATATATATACACATATGTACGTGCATGTATATATAATTACATATGTATTTATTTCTTTTCCACCATTTTCTATGTATGTGGAGCTTGACCCCAGGTTATATGTTAGATAGAGTCAGGAGAGAGTTTCACGTGGCCACAGGGTCTTCTTTATTACATCTAATAATTCTCCCTTGACCTGGAGGCTGGCATGAAGCAGTATAGCCCTGGATTAGTACTTGGGTGCTTGCTTTCTCATTCAGAGATCAAATGCTGGAGATTGATTAGCAGTAGGCTTTTGAAGTCTACCCAAAGATGAGTTTTTTCAAAATATCATAAAGGTGGTGGAGTCCCAAGGCCACTGTTAAGAGATGATGTACAGAGGCAAAGTGGGCTGTGAGAATTTGGAAAATAATTTTTTTTCCAAGAACAGCCAAGTCTACCCCCAAAGACCCAGAACCAATATGATTAGTCTTTCTTTCCTAGTTAGAAGTTTAAAGCTAGACATAGTAAAAAGACTACGTTGTGAATGCTAATATCAAAAATTTATTAATTACGAGTATAAAAACATCAAGTATACTCTCTAAATATTACGTAAACCCAAAGGCAACGCATAATAGAATATACAGAAAATGCTCTCTAACCCTAAAACTAAGAAATGTGAGTACGTGAAGGCAGAAGATGTTCAGAAAGACTCGGTAAGTATAATCAGCGTTCTTCCAACCACCATTGGTTCCTTCTTTTGTAACTGTGGATCATAAAATTAATAAATGAAACATGTAAGTCGCCTATCATATGCTCACCACTGGGGCAAATGCTGGAATGGAGGCACCTGATCAATGACCGTACTCAAAACCTTGTAGCATAGTAACTTGAGCAGAGCAAGCACATCAAGTGACAGACATGCTGAATGAATCAGACTGGGTGGCCAGAGTCAAAGCAGAGGAAGGAGGCTTCTATCCAGTAGTGCGTCCATAGACAAGAAGACAAGCGGGCCAGTGAATATCGGTTGGGAAAAAAATACATAGACTGTTCCGCGGAATGAACACAGACACTTGTGATGGAGAGTAATCACAATGGGCAGAAGGTCTTGTATTTAAAAGCCAGTTTGTTAAAAATCTAGGATAGGCAAAAAGCTAACAGAAAATGCTGACAAATTCAAATGAAGTAATGAGGCCAAGCTAAAACAAGCGAAGACTGCATCATACACACATTTTTACACATTAATACACAGAAGCCCGACTTCAAAGCACATTTTAAAAGAGATTAAGGAAATGATTACCTTTATGACATTTAAGTGCCTTAAATTCATCAAATATCTATGTTTTACCATACTCTCAAATAATAAAATCATTATTTTTTAAAAGATAATGCTAACACGCATCCACTTCTATTGTTAGCATAATATACTCATAAAATAATAATAAAAGCAGGGCAGTGGTGGCACACACCTTTAATCCCAGCACTCAGGAGGCAAAGGGAGGCGAATCTCAGTGAGTTCAAGGCCAGCCTAGTCTACAAAGTGAATTCCAGAACAGTGAGGACTGTTACACAGAGAAACCCTGTCTCAAAAAACCAAAAATAATAACAATAGTAATGATAATAATATTCTTACCCCAACGGATGGATGCTTCGGTAGTTTGGGGAATCAAAGTGTTATTTACAATATTTTGTTCGGGTACATAGTTGCCCATCGGTAACTCATTCACTGAGAAAAAAAACAACAACACAAGCAATTACAATCTGAAAACAGAATTTCGTATCTTTATGTACCAGCAAATGCAACTGTTGGCTTAAGAACAGCAGACTTCTATTGCTTAGGGTCTTAGCTGGGATCATCCTTATGGATTTCTGGGAATGTCTCTAGTGCCAGGAGAAGGTGCCCAAAATGGCTTTCCCTGTAGTCAGATTGATAAATATCTTAAATGTCATCATAGAACCTTCATCCAGCAACTGATGGAAACAGAGGCAGGGACCCACGGCGGAGCACTGGGCTGAGCTCCCAAAGTCCAGCTGAAGAGTGGAAGGAATAACAATGTGAGCAAAGAGGTCAAGACCATGATGGGGACACCCACTGAAACAGTCTACCTGAGCTAATGGGAGCTCACCAACTCCAGCCTGACAGGGAAGGAACCAGAATATGACCAAACTAGTCCCTCTGAATGTGAGTGACAGTTGTATGGCTGGAGCAGACTGTGGGGCCACTGGCAGTGGCACCAGGATTTATCCCTACTGCATGTACTGACTTTTGGGAACCCATTCTGTAGATGGATACCTTGCTCAGCCTGGATACAGTGGGGAGGGCCTTGGACCTTCCCCAAAGCAATGTGCCTTACCCTCTCTGAGGAGTGGATGGGGGGTGAGGAGGGACAAGTGGAGGGAATGGCAGGAGGGAGGGATTGGGAACTGGGATTGGTATGTAAAATGAAAAAAGATGGTTTGTTCTCTTTTTTAAAAACTTAAATAAAAAGAACAGTAGACTTGTTGGAATCTGGTCCCCCTGCAATTCTAAATTAGCAAACGAGGAGTTTTAAACACATACGCAAGTTAAGATTTCCACTAGTAAATTTGTAGCTAGTGACCAAAATCCTGCAACAGTCCATGTATACGGTTGCCCTTTATTATTTTATGAGTAATTATTAACCTCATATTTCATAAGAATAAGAGATCTCAGTAGTCCTGCCATTGTGCTGTGTGTAGACCGCAGTCCTCTGAGGAGAGACAGTGAGCCACCATGTCTGAGAACGTTATGGGGTTTAGGGGAACTGTAGAGATGCCTTAATTATCTGTATTTATTTTTTTAACACAGTTGGGAATCTCTTTTAGACCTAGTTTCTGTTTGTGCAGCTTAGCCAGAATTCGGGTACACGCTCACGGAGTCCTCATCTCAGATGACCCCTGTAGACCGCCCCAGCCAAGACGAGAAGCGAGCTCACCTGGGTCCTCACAGGTGCTCCGGCAAGCGTCCAAGGTCTCAAAGTTGTTCTGGTTGCCTAAGCACCCACCGTACTTGAATTGTTCGCACTGCTTTGACTGGTTGTTGTAAAAATACCTAGTAATGAGGCCTCGGCAGATTCCAGGATCCTCTTCCAAGAAGCAGAAATTTGGCTTCCCTAAAAGCGACAAAATACATCAGGAAGAAATACCCTTCTTTTGTTATTATCATTTAGCTATTTTAATGAAATTTATAATCAACATATTTAGAAGATAAATTTAAAACCAATTTTAAAAGGTTAAAGGTTAAACCAGAAGGTAATGGTTATCTCATTAAAAATAAATAAAATGGCTCAATTTAAAACTGAACCATTATCTAACCCTTTGGGTACTTGGAATAAGGAAGATGAAACTATTTCTTTATATTATTTATCTGGTATTTCAGTTCTAAATTTCTTTTATGAGATTACAGGGAATTATTATCAACATTTTCATGAACCAATAAAATAAAGGATGGTGGGTTGATACATGCTGACCTTGCTTTAGAAGTACAAAATACTGTGGTAAGTTTTGCTTTAATAATTTCTATTAAGTTTAATGCACTGATATTAAAGAAAAGTCGACTGAAGTGTTGGGGATCTGGGGATGGAGTACTGTGTTAGTTCTTTAAGACTGCTAGAGAGGCTTTAAACCTTAGAAAGGATCTTAGGGCTACAGAAGTTGGCCTGGCTATTCTTGGAAGTTCCTGAATTCTTATGCTGGAATTAATATCTGTGCTCAGTATGTCACCCTCCGCTGTTGGGTCTCTCCCTCCCTCCCCACCCTCTCTTTTCTTCTTCTTCCAAGCATTGGGCTGGACCAACAATGTAGAGGCAGAAAGGAAATACATGTTCAGGGATTAGAAGGACTTTTGCAAAGCCTAACAGCCTTCCTTTGATCACGCTCCAAAACAGGCTAGACACAGCTGTCACAAAAGCTGCAATATTGTGACCTACATTACAGTCTCTATCTACATGCATACTGTGAAGAGAATCGAGTTAGTTTTCAAATGTATTTATGCTCAAAAGTCTTACTGTGCTTGAATATTTTGGACAAGGTTCCAGTTCCTCCAATTTCTCCTATAAATATATTTCTGTGGTAATAGAATGAACTATGATACCCTTCCATGTCTTAAAGCAACTTCTTTTTTTTATATCAGGAAGTCGGTGCTCACAAGTGCTCTACTATCTAAAGAGTGTGTATTCCATGTACTTCAGGCACAGAGCCCAGAGTCCCCTAAGCTGGAAGTGGCCTGAAAGTCTCCTCCCTGAGGGATAGTTCTCAGAGTACCAGAAGGCACCATTCAAGCTTCAAGGGAGAGAGGTGACCAACAGTCCTCCCCAGCTATAACACCTATAAACAAAAATGACCGGGATGACACAATGACCCTAAGACTGCAATCGAGGCATACATATCTTGACAGTGAACAACAGCTGTGTGAGAAACAGACTCCATGAAAGAGCACACCGTTTAGTTATCCAGTGCCAAATGGCAGGCCCTGGAAACATACAGAAACATAAACGTGTATACATATGTATATAAGTACATACATATGTGTGTTACATTATACAAATTGATCAGATTGTACTTATGCACTTATGACTATATATTATGTATTTTGAAACACATATCATATGTTTGTTATGAGATTGTGCCTCATAGGAAGGTCAGAAGGCTATACTCAAAGTCTCACCAACATGATATGTATATATCAGCAATTAACGAAAATAACAGCCATGAATTTGAGGCAGACCAAGGAAGTATATATAGGAAGGTTTGGAAGGAGGAAAAGGTGTGGTTATATTATAATCTCAGTAAATAGAAGAAATGAAACAAGAGCATCTCATTAATGTTAGGAAGAGCCACAGCAGTGGCAGAGCTGAAGAGGAATCCACAATTTAAAAGTCCTTATTAAAATATCATTTTAGTAAAGAATAAAAACCTGTTTTCTATAACTTCTCAACATGTAAATGGGAAGTTAACTTTGTTTCTTGTTGTCTCTTAAAGTAAATGTCGGTGAAATTCTTATGTTGTATGAACCTCATAGAAGAGAAAGTGGGAAGTACACTTGAACACATTGGCACAGGAGACCACTTCCTAAATATAACCCCAGCAGCACAAACACTGAGAGAAACAATTAATAAATGGTACTTCCTGAAACTGAGAAGTTTCTGTAAAGCAAAGGACACTGTCAACAAGACAAAATGACAGCCTATAGATTGGGAAAAGATCTTCACCAACCCCACATCAGACAGAGGTCTGATCTCCAAAACAGACAAAGAACTCAAGAAACTTAACAACTAAAGAACAAATAATTCAATAAAAGGGGTCGAATTTCAAATGGTTGAAAGTCACTTAAGGAAATGGTTAGCATCCTCAGCTATCAGAGAAATGCAAATCAAAACAACTCTGAGATTCCATCTTACACATGTAAGAATGGCCAAGATCAAAAACACTGATGATAGTTTATGCTGGAGAGGATGTGGGGTAAAGGGAAGACTCCTGCATTGCTGGTGGGAGTGCAAACTGCTTTGGATATCAGTAAGCAATTCCTCAGAAAATTAGGAAACAATCTACCTCAAAACCCAGCAATACCACTTTCGGGTATATACCCAAAAGATGTTCAATCATACCACAAAGACATGTGCTCAGCCTTGTTCATAGCAGCATTATTTGTCATAGCCAGAACCTGAAAACAACCTGGATGTCTCTCAACCAAACAATGGACAAGAAAATGTGGTACATTTATACAACGGAGTACTACTCAGCAGTAAAAAAAAAAAATAATAATAACATCTTGAAATTTCCAGGTAAATGAATAAATCTAGAAAAATAAACATATTGAGTGAGGTAGCCCAGACCCAGAAAGATAAATATAATATGTACTCACTCATAAGTGGCTTTTAGATATAAAGCAAAGAAAGCCAGTATAAACGGAGACTGATTGTTCATCTCCTGGTCACCTAGACCCAAATAATCATGCAGAAACTATATTAATTACAACACTGGATGCCAGCTTAGGCATATTCCTACCTAGCTCTTATATCTTAAATTAACCCATTTCTATTGTTCTACATTTTACTATGAGACTCGTGGTTTGTTACCTCTTACTTCTTGGGCAACTACATGGCATCTGCCTCCTTTGGCAGCTACACGGCATCTCCTTAACTTTGCCTACTCTCTCTCTCTCTCTCTCTCTCTCTATATATATATATATATATATATATATGTTAGGATTTCCCACCTAACTTTACTCTGCTAAGCCATTGGCCAAACAGCTTTATTCATTATCCAATAAAAACAACACATATAAAGGACATCCCACATCAAACCAACCTACAGTCCTCAACCCCAGAGAACCTAGACAACAAAGAGGATATTAAGACAGACATACATGGATGTACTTAGGAAGGAGAAAAAAGGCAAGATCTCCTAAGTAAATTGGGAGTGTGGGGGTCATGGGAGAGGGCAGAAGGGGAAAGGGGAGAAAGAGAGGGGAGCGAAGAAAAATGTATAGCTCAATAAAAACAATAAAAAAGAAATTCTTATGTTGTTTCCTTTTTCAAATTTAAGTAAATTTTTTAAGTGATGATAGCTTCAAGCATATACATTATGGAGTGATTAAATCTGGATAATTAATGGATCCCTCCACATGACCGTAACATGTTTAGACTTAGAACACAAGGGACATCCACTCTCTCAGCTGTCACAAGAGTTAAATACATGACTGATAACTATAGTTCATGCTATATGGTAGATTCTTTAAATGTTAATGACTCTGTGTGGTCACCTCTCCCACACACAGTCTTGGTATCAACAATGCCACGCCTACTCTTAGACCACCCTTCCAAGACTCCATGCTGTGTATTGCCTTCAGCACGATGCTCACCAAGTCCAGCCACATTGTTGCAAGATCCAAGATTTCCTTCTTATCCATAGCCAAATAATTTCACATCGTGTGGAATATGACACATTTTCTGTCCCTTTATCTGCAGACTGAACCTTCAGTTCATTCCATATAATTCTTGCAGAATACAACTTCAGTGAATGGGATGGGCAACCTTTGAGTCCCTTCTCCTTGATGTGTGCTGAGTGGTGGGGCTGATCGCTAGACGAAACCGTATCTCTATCCCTAACTTAAAATTGTGATGAGGGACATCCGTACTGTTTTCCCTGGTTGCTGTTTGGATTTAATGACAAGGAAATGACGGCCCATTTGAGTTTGGATTTGTTTCTTTGAGGGTTAGTGTTGTGTAATCATTTCCTATCATATTCCTGTCCTCGCTGTGATATGTATTTGTGTCATGTACACAAAACAGGAAAAACGGTTTTTATAAATTTTAATGTGTTAAAAGGAAGACCACATACATTCAATCTCCATTTTGATTAATTTTAGGATATAACTTTTCCTGAAATTTAAAGTAATCTTAAATATACAGATTTTACGCATAAAATGAATTAATGAATGAGACATACTGCAAAAAATTATAATATAATTTATGCTAATGATCATTATTAATAAATTCTATATGGAAGCTTTTTTTCTGAGACCCCCATCAAATTACATGAATTAATTTTAGGAGAAAGTTGAGAATATACACGTGTAAAATAATGCCTACATTATCTTAAAATAAGGTCTACAAAATAAAATTAAACATAAAACAGGATTATAAATAAGGTAATTCTCCATATTCCTGAAAGTGTCATCCTCCTGGAACTACATACACTCTTTGGTAAGCGGTTCTCAGTTACGGCTGAGTAAGAATATTGCCGCAAGCCATGCAGCTTCTTTCCTAGCCACAGGGATAGAATGCCAAGTTCTCTGCACGCCCACACACCATGGATTGCTTAAGACTAAGCTTTCCTCCTGAGGTAATGGCCTGAATCTTCATCGTCTTTTGATTTTCTTTTGATATCTTGTAATAGTGTCATTATCATTAAATCTGGGAATTGATTTGTCCTGTTTCAATGTTAGGAAGCATATCGACTTCAGTTTGATGGAACTTTTACTAGAGAGTAACTATAGCAACAAAACACTTCTAACACTCGTATGTTCACAGAGTTAATCTTTTTCATATTTAATACTTAAAGTGATTGTTTCTTCGATTCCAAAATCTACTTTTACATTCTACTCGTACAGTAAATATTTCCTGGCATTTAATTTTTCTCTAATTCTATGTTTTAAAAGAAATCTTAGTATTTCAACGTTGCTACTTCTGTTCACAAAAAAAAAAAATCTTCAATCAGATATCTCCTCAATAGAGGGAACCATCATGGGGTTAGGGAGAAACTTGGTGCTAGGGAAATTCCTCGGAATTCACACAGACGACCCCAGCTAAGGCTCCTAGCAATAGTGGAGAGGGTGCCTGAACTGGCCTTCCCCCGTAATCAGATTAGTGACTAATTGTCATCATGGAACCTACATCCTGTAACTGATGGAAGCAGATGCGGAGACCTACAGCCAAGCATTGGGCTGAGCTTCTGGAGTCCAGCTGAAGAGAGGGAGGAGAGATCATATGAACACGGGGGTCAAGATCATGGTGGGGAAAACCACAGAGACAGCTGACCCGAGCTAGTGGAAGCTCACAGACTCTGGACTGACAGCTGAGGAACCCGCATGGGACTAAACTAGGCCCTCTGAATGTGGGTGACAGTTGTGTGACTTGATCTTGTAGGGGGTGGGGCTGGCAGTGGAGTCAGCACTTTTCCCAGGTACATGAACTGGCTTTTTAGAGCCCATTCCCTATGGTGAGATACTTTGCTCAGCCCTGATATAGGGGGTAGAGCCTTGCTACCTCAACTTGATATTTCAGACTTTGTTGACTCCCCAAGGGAGGCCTTACCCAGTCTGAGGAGTGGATGAGGGGAGCGAAAGGAGGGGGTGGGAGAAAGGGAGGGAAGGGAAACTGGGGTTGGTATGTAAAATATAAAAAAAAATTAAAAATTTAAATCTTCTTTCACTTGTAGACAAACTCATTTATAAATATACTGTTTTCTTAAGTGCTAACAATAACTACAACCTTACTTAACTGGAGTACTGAACATTGTTACCAATATCAATTCAATATTTGAAGGGATATGTTTTTAAATTATAAATAATCACTTTTACTTGTTAAACAAATTGTGACTGAGTTTATTTCATTTGTTTGCTTGTTTGTTTTGTTCTTTCAAGACAGATGGATCTCCATCTTGAAAGAACACCCTGTTCTACAGAGCAAGTTCCACGACAGGCTCCAAGCTACACAGAGAAACCCTGTCTCAAAAAAAAAAAAAAAAATTCCCAGTGGACTCAAGAACTAAAATGAAGCAATCAAGAGCTAACTCACTGTCTGCATGTTGTTAAAACAACCTGTGTGGCTCTCAATCTTCCTGCTGCGACCCTTTAATACAGCTCCACCCGTTGTGGTGACCCCCAACCATAAAATTATTTTGTTGTTACGTCATTACAATTACATTGCAACTGCAATTTTGCTATTGTTACGAATTGTACTGCAGACATCTGATGCGCAGGATATCCAATATCCGCCCCTGTGAAAGGGTTGTTCAACCACCCACAAGAGAGTCCCCACCTGTGGGTTGAGAACAAATGGTCTAGAGAGCCCCTGACGCCAAACTCACGCAGGTGAAGCCTCCCTACTGAACAGTGTCTGCAATTTCTAAGTTTTCACTGTATCCACCAGAGGAAACATTGTTTCTGAAGCCGCATAGATTCAAAGTCAACACACAACAGCGGTCTATAAAAACGCAATATCCAGCTGTCTTAGATAAATGCTACTAATTTTCATGAAAGCGAAAGTGTACCTGCTGTGGATGTTGTCTTCACAGGCGTCTTTTTATAACCTGTAAAGAAAGTACGTCAATTAGAGGCCATCACTTAGAAGACAATATTATGAGCTTGACCTTAAACGAGAACAATTACATAACCCCATTAATATTATCCTCACACAGAATGTCTTAATGACTCGTTTATTTTTATTTATAGATGATTATAGTCATTTTTTCCCCACCACAGCCACCCACCGCTGCCTCCTTCTCCTTCTCCTCCTCCTCACCTTAGTCTTTGGGGAACTGACGGCCAGAGGCTTCTCCTCCGCCCCACACTGTAGGGACAGTGCTCGGACAGGCCGGGACAGGACAGGTCTCCCCCACCACCACTGCTGCCTACAGCCAGTCATTTGTGTTTGTTTGCTTTAGTACCGTTGTTATTTCTTGTCGTAGTGTCTATCAAATGCAGCATTTTATGAATGCTATGCAAGAACTCTACCACTGGATTGAACCTCCAGCTCACACGTCCTCTTTTAGAAATGATTTTAACTGATGGATAAAAATATAGACTTCTACATAGTGATAAGGTGTTATGTCACATTTCAATACCTGGGTATATTAAGTAATGTTGAGGTGAGGCTAAACATGTCTATCCCCTCAAATATATATCAATTCTTTTTATTGAAACCTTTTAAACTCTTCCATGCAGCTTTTGGAAGGTGTAATATCTTGCTGCCTGTAGCTCCCCTGCTATGCATCAGGATCAGGCAAAACTACCAATGATAAAATTTGTAAACATTGTTTAAAATGTTATGAAATTATGATGCAACTACAAAGTAAAAATCTTCCATTTGATAATACATTATCATGTGCTTTATAGACCTACATCAGTAAAATCAACACCAAAGCTAGGTTTGGTCAAGTTTGCACAGCATACACGAAATTTGGATTTTTTTGTAGTATTAAAATTCCAATAAGAATAACACATTTCATCCAGGCGATAGTGGTGCACACCTTTGATCCCAGCACTTGGGAGCAGAGGCAGGTGGATCTCTGTGAGTTCAAGGCCAGCCTGGTCTACAGAGCTAGTTTCCAGGACAGACTTCAAAGCTACAGAGAAACTCTGTCTTGAAAAACCAAAAAGAGAAAAAAGGAGGAGGAGGAGGAAGAGGAGGAGGAGATGTTTCTAATTCAATCTCAGACCTAGAAGTGCTAAGCTGACTCACGTGGCAGAAATTTGTACATGTTAATGTATTTATCTTCTGAGCCTAACAGTCTCTGACTCATTATCTTCCAAGAAGAGTGCTTGTCCGAGTATCCTGTTTATAAAACAGGTGCAGCCAAGTCTGTATGAAAAACAATGCTTTTCCTGCCAACCCAGCTCGCAGGTAAGTTGGCTGCACTCATGTCATGGAACCTATGAAATTCTTTGTAAACTTCAGGGTCCCTTCCCTTTCCACTGTAGAGTAGACTCCAAGATGATAAATGAGGCATCATTATTTTATGATAACTGAAAAGAAAAAGCTCAAAAACAACAGCTGACTGGAAAATCTAGAAATGTAAACTGCCGCAGAGTATTTGTCTAACTGTGCAGAGATGTGCTGCATTTGTTTAACTATGTAAAGAGGTGCTGCTGTTTTACCTTGCCTGTCGGCACCTGATTGTTCTAATCAAAAGCTGAATGGCCAATAGCAAGGGGAGAGGTAGAGGCAAGAATTCCGGGTAGAGAGAGGAAGTTGGAGGAGGAATTTAGGCTCTGGGAAAGAAAGAAACAGAGACCACAGAGAGACACCAGGGGCCAACCAACAACATACAGAGGAAGCAGGAAGTAGGTCATACTGAATGAAGGAAACAGTAGAGGCCTGGAGACAAAACGTAGATGAATAGAAAACAGGTTACAACTGGTTAAAAGAGCTAGTGGGACAGGCCTAAGCTAAAGCCAAGGATTCATAATTAATAATAAGTCTCTGTGTCTCTATTTTGGAGCTGGTTGGTGGCCCAAAGAAAATTCCAACTACAGAAAACAATGGGATTTCTTGGGAAATGGTACTGTTTTTCTAGCATTGCTAAATTTGCATTTAGGCCTGGTAACCACGCAGGCTTTTGTGTCAAAAGTTTCCTGGAAACCTACCTGGTATGCATGTTTTCTTACACTCTTCCAGGGTCTCAAATCGATTCTCGTTTCCTCTGCATCCCCCGTATATAAATTCTTCACATTGTTGAGTAAGAATATTGAAAAAATAACTCCTGATCATGGCCTTGCACGGCCCATCGTCAACCTTCATTGCGCAAAATGTTTGCTTCGGTTTCATTGGTGGCAGCGCAGAATCTACAGGGTAGGAATAAGAATATCACGTTTAATTCTCTTTAAGTCTCTGCCAACACCATGACAATGTCCTTGTTGTCATCTTGTCAAATACATAGTTTTCACTCTCGATTTTTAAATAAGGAAGTTAGAACAGAAAAAGTAAAATTATTGTGAGTTCCGTGACAGTTGCCAGCCGAGTGTGCACATATGTTCCACGGCTTTCATAATTTGTTCACAATCCTTAAAGAAGGTGCTTGAAACTTTAAATGCCATGAGCTAATTAGTCCTCTAGAGGGCAGCCGTGCTCTGCTAGAGTAAAATCCATCCGCACAACTACCGACCTATAAAATTATTTTAATATACTAAAACATGAGTGGACATCACTTCAATGTTTTCATATAGAAATATTTTAAAGCAAAGCATAAATTTGTAGAGCAATGCTACTCTAGTGATAAATCCATCTTTTAAATTCCTTGCAATTTTAAAACAAACTTTTGGAAAGGGCTCATATAAATTTGACTTAGGTTACTTCCAAGTATCTTCTTCCATTTGTATTTTATTATTATAGTTATAGGTATTAAACTAATATCTTTTTCTAGCCATATTTGAACAATATTAAGATTCTAACAAAGAAATTAGTCTGTTCTCGTTTATTTATCTGTTTATCTGTGTACTCGTTTATTTGGAGGATACACATGCACCCTGACTGTCTTTCTTCAACTACTCTCCATCTCTCACTAGCCAGGAACCCAACAGGTAGGCAAGGCTGGCTGGCTTGCTGTCTGGACAGTGGTCTCCAGGAATCTGCCTTTCTGGGCTTCCCACCACCAGGCTTACACACATGCACCAGCAAAGTCCAGCATTTTTTAAGTAGATTCTAGAATAAAACTCGGGTCCTGGTCTTGCAAGACAAACACATTATAATCTCCCCAGCCCAGACATTTATAGGATTAATAAAGTTACACTTAAGACTGTGATAGTTGGAGTTAATTATCAACTTGCAGAATCGAGTCACCCAGAGATGGCTTCTGAGCAGGTCTGAGGTATGGGTGGGGTGATACTGATTAGATTAACGGACTAGGAGGATTCTGTACTTGACTCCCACTCTCCGGGCTGGGACTAGACCATGTAAGGTCTCCTTTACTGATTTATATAAGCTCTTGTTAACTGAGATCTCGTGTGTGTGTGTGTGTGTGTGTGTGTGTGTGTGTGTGTGTGTGTGTGCGCAGGAAAACACAGAGCCCAAGTGCGGCCCGTTGTTTAACAGTTCTGCCACTAGAGGGTGAGAGAGTACCACAAAAGAGCTTCTTTGTGGTTTCAAAGTTGTTTATGTAGTTATAGTAATACCGGGATTTTTTTCTGAGTAATTAATTTCCCAGAACTTTGTTATAAAATTATCTAATGATCACCATTTTGTCATGTGAGTGTTATCGTCATCTTACAACCAAAAAAAAAAAAACTGCAGAAATTAAGTAAGTTGCTCTTATTTATACCAGAAAATGATAGACTTGCCCGTCACATGTTATAACAGGTATACTACACAATCTTAATAAGAATAATATTGTCACAAGCCTGTATGACCGAAATGCCCTCTCTGGCATTTGGGTAAACAATTAGATTTAATAATGCGATTTCCAATCAATAGCATTCTAAGACTTTGGTTTATAAAGTTGCAAATCATTTTCCTATGAAACTCTGGTACTGAATCTTAGTTCCCTTTCCTGTGTCTTTGGATGTCAAGAAAAAAAGTCTCAGTAGACTATGGGGCGCTCAAGGTTACGGGTCGCCCTGATGCTAGGATTTTACTTTCCTGGAGATTGTTTGTGAATTTAGAGCCTGCAGGTTGCTTACTGTCTAAGGTCCACATGCTCGTGACTCTGGGTATTGCAAAAATAACTAAAACCCAAAAGGAAACAAAACAAACCTAGATAAGACTGTGTGACTCATTGATCAAGAGAGCTTCAAGTTGAAGTACAGTTAATAAAAACTCAGAGACAATTATTGAGGTTCAACCTGAAGACCAGAAAAATAAAGCAGTCAGCCACTGGCTCTTATCTCAGTCTCAGTCTGAAAACTGTGATCCTGCCTCCAGAGAACCTCAGAATGAGACAGTGACTGAGTGCTGTCTCCTCCCATTTTATAATCCTGTCTAGTTCTGGGATTAACGGTGTGTACCACCACCACTGCCTGGTTTCTATGGCAAGCTACTAGGGTTGAAGGTGTGTGTCATTGTTGCCTGGTCTATAATGCTGGCCAGTGTGGCTGTTTTACTTTTCTGGTCTTTAGGTAAGCTTTATTTATTAAAATACAAATGAAATGCCACTATGTCATATCTACTATAAAGTCAAGCTATTGCTAGGTGCGGGACCCCTGCCTGCAATCCTAGCCCTGTGTGGAGAAGCAAAAGCTTGTAAGTGTAAGGTCAACCTGAGCTACGCAGTGAGAACACTCTATGAAGCTGTGAGAATTTAAGACTTTCACTCACCATCAGCTACAGTTTTGGGCTCAGAAAATATACTTACCCAACCTTTGTTAAGGGGAATTCACGAAACCAATTCACTAGAGATGAGAATGTATATATGGAACTCTTTATATATATATATATATATGTCAGAAATAAGATGAATTTGGAGACTATCACGTTGCTAAGATTTTCCATTACCAGTAACCTGAGCTCTGGCAATAATTTTATACAAAATGTTACTTTGGGAGAAATACATAAATTTCTATGACACCTGTTTGAGTTTTTATTTTTGACACAGTTTGTGGAGTTGAACCTCACTTCCACACTAGTTTCTTTGATGCGCAGCTCAAGTAAGACTCCAATGTGAGTTTCATCTCAGGCACTCTTATTTTGAAAATACTAGTAAGAAGGAGAGGATGATTGAAGCTTGTAGACACAGTTCTTTTTCCTAGCTCAAAGCTAAATTCATGTCGGTAAGAATCTCCTTCAGAGCCAGGCTGTGCTGGCACACGCCTATGATCCCAGCACTCGGGAGGCAGAGGCAGGTGGATCTCCATGAGTTCAAGGCCAGCCTGGTCTACAGAGGGAGTTCCAGGACAACCAGAGCTACAGGGAGAAACCCTGACTCCAAGAAACAAATAAAAGTCTCTCTTGCTGAAGTGACTTGGTTTTGTATAGTCTAAAACGTAACCCACTTAATAATACAAGAATTATCTTAAGGAAAATACTACTTTGTTTTACAAAAAAAAATTCTAAGGGAGCTGGAATGATGGCTCAGCAGTTAAGAGCACCTGCTGCTCTTCCAGAAGATGAGAGTTTGATTCCCAGCACACCCATGGTAGCTTACAACTGTCTATAACTCCAGGTCCAAGAGTTCTAATGCTGTCTTCTGGTTTTTTGAGGACACTGCACACACGGTCCACATACACACAAATAGGCAAAACACACATACACATAAAGTAGTAAAACAAAAATTTAGAGATTAAAATTCCCAACATAATGAAAAATATGAACTTTATACTAAACTGAGAGTTTTGGCAAACAAACAAAAAACCCCAGCAGATCAACTTTGCAGCATTTACCTGTGGTTTCTGATTGTTCATCAGCTTTCTCAGGCAGAGCATTGAGAAGCTCGGGGGTGACGCTAAGCAACAGACACACGGATGCCCAGAAGGCACGTTCTTTCTTCATCATATAAGTCATTTCTGAAACACAGAACACAAACATGCTTACTAAGGAACCCGTGTGGATGTGTCTGTGGGCCGGTAGAACTCTAGCACACTGCTCCGAGGGAACTGAATACGTGTTCAGGTATTGACCACACATTCTGAAGTTCACCTCTGAAACACGTCCTTGAACTATTTAGAGAGACAGTCACGTCTGTGCAGTGTGCATTTACTAATATTTGACTGGAAGCCATCTTTTAGCCTTGAAAATACAAGCGAAGGGGGAAATGAGGAGAGAGATGTTTAGGTGCGAGTTAATGTGGATTGGTGCCATCTCTCACGTGTGTAATTTAGACTTACAAACAGATCAGGGAGGGCACGGCAGAATAATGGGGCAGTGTTTTAAATGCAACCTAAGATGAATTAATAAAAACGTGATTTCAGTCTAAACAAGTTACATTTTCCTCACCACTCAGCTGCTTTTCTTTCTTTGTCAGAACTAATTGTGTGTTAATTCTTCCAGCATTTTCTTTGGTTAATGCTCTTCAGACAACTTCCCATTTTTTATTACCCTTCCCGTCTGCTTTGGTCCCTCTTTGGGAAAAGAAGCATTTTCACAGTTCTCCCTCTTGGTTCTTGTGGTTTTTGTTTTATAGCCCATGTTTAAACCAGGTTTTCTGTGAGGTAAGCATGAAGTAACTGCACACAACAGACGTGCCTTTCATCCCAGCCACTCCCTTCTTCAACCCCTCGGTTCACCTTTCCCCAGTTTGTGGAGAAGCAATGAGCCGACACTTTTGCACCCTGAGGGAATGAATTCCTGCAGGAAGTGAGACATTTCCTGTTTCAAACTGATTTAAAGATCTAGATCTAAAAAGGAAAAGAAGTTGAAAAACACGTACGTAGCTTTAAAAAAAAAAATGACTTCCCCTTTGCCCTCAAAGGTGAAAGGAAACAAAGAACACAGGATGTTGAAGCTTTAGCGTCAGGAACAAACACGTGACCTAGAGATACACCTTCATCACGGTTTTTACTGTATACAAAATTGCTTTTGTCAACTTCTACTTCTACAGAAGGATGCCTAAGACTGAATGATTTTTTTTAAATATTTATTTATTTATTATGTATACAATATTCTGTCTGTGTGTATGTCTGCAGGCGAGAAGAGGGCACCAGACCCCGTTACAGATGGTTGTGAGCCACCATGTGGTTGCTGGGAATTGAACTCAAGACCTTTGGAAGAGCAGGCAATGCTCTTAACCTCTGCGCCATCTCTCCAGCCCCAGAGTGAATGATTTTTAAGGTCTAGAGATTTCTGTCATAACTCTGGAGTTTGGAAAATGCCAAATCAGGATACTGCTAAGTAGGAAAAAAATAAATAAAATTACATGATTGGCCTTGGAATACGTGAGAAGTAAAGTAATAAGTACCATTTTACTTTCTGTATCACTAAAATCACTGGCAAACTAGTCTTGTTCCTCACGACACACTGGAAATGCTAAAGCATGTCTGAATTTCAGTCGGCAGCAATGTTAGATATTTGCGCCTCATACAACAGACCACACGTCATTGTGAGATTCTGATACACACATGTGATTACAGAGAGCATTTCTGCCAAACTTCTAGGTTTTCGTTTACTTTTCAAACACTATCAGAGGCTTTTTTTTTTTTCAAGATGGGGTTTCTCTGTATAACAGCCAGGCTGGCCTGGAACTCACAGAGATCCACCTGCCTCTGCCTCCAGAGTGCCAGGACTAAAGGCGTGTGCCACCACCTCCAGGGTCCTTTCAGAGACTCTTAAATTCCATTTGATTCCATGAAAAGTCCAAGGCAGCTGTATTTTGAATGTAACATGAAGCAGACTTTTTGTCTAGGTGGCTCAGAGTACAGGCTTGGGTTGAACGCCTGCTAAAAACTCAAGGATAGAGACTCTCAATCTATCATGTCTTATTTCAAAGCTGCAGCTTAAAACATTGCTCATATTTAGTCACTTAGTCTTGGTTCAGTTTCAAGTAGCCAATACCAAGAACTTAGATGAATTAGGTCAAAATGTCATTAGCCACATTCCAGAAAATGTAGAACTACCTAAGCCTAGAAGGGCCAGTTTAAGTTCATCTCAGAGACGACTCGAGCCAGAGAACTGAGCACCATCAGGAGTCTCTAATTGCTTTATTCTCTGTCTCAGTCCAGTTCCTCTCAGTCCCTGCCCCATCCCCAGCATGGAATGTGGTCCTCATCTTTCCTGGATGCTGTGCCATAAAGTTTCTTTACACACCAGGTCCAAACAGGTAGTAAATAACCCTGGCAATTCCAGTTTGTGAAAAGAGGAACCTTTCAGAGCAGAGCCTTTAAGATGGAGCATTCGGGGAACCCAAATGGATTACGAATTCCCCAAACTTGATTCAAAAGATGCCAAAGCTAGAAGGGATCCAGAGTGAGGAAGGCAATATACAGCATGGCTGATCTTTTTTATGTGCACATATGCATCTATATGTCTGTAGTGCACATATGCATCTATGTCTGTAGTGCACATGTGTGTATCTATGTGTCTGTGGTGCACATATGCATCTATATGTCTGTGGTGCACATATGCATCTATATGTCTGTAGTGCATATATGCATCTATGTCTATAGTGCACATGTGCATCTATGTCTGTAGTGCACATATGTATCTATATGCCTGTAGTGCACATGTGTATCTATATGTCTATAGTGCACATATGTATCTATATGCCTGTAGTGCACACGTGTATCTATATGTCTGTAGTGCACATATGCATCTATATGTCTGTAG